TCACCTTAATTTGTGTGTTGCTGGTAGCTGCAGCAGCCACCACCATTTGATGACCCTTCGCCTAGTTATGGTTCTACCTTTTGCTTCAGTTGGGAAAGTTTGTACACGTAGATTCTAGTTTAGGCTGGCTTGGCAAGATTGGATAGGTATCTATCTAAATTCATACTGGTAATTTGCTGCCACTCGTTGGGTCAAAGTCCTCAGCATTTCACTATCATTTGGAAGTGGATGAACGGGAGTGCCACACCCAGGCCTCTGGATAGGATTTGGGGTACTCTTTCTCGTAAGTCCAACACCCAGCCTTTACTATTTCAGTAAGGGTGCTTCACAGAAACTGCTCTTAAAAATCAGGGTGCAAACAAATCAAATAAGTTACTGTGTAGGATGTTTGTGTTGCAGTGTGTTGAATCGCCGTAGTTATATGGAGGAACCAAAATCGATACTCAGCGCGGGCGTCTGACGTGAATAATACGTTTTACGCGTCTCTTAGATCGAACTAGATTTCATCAGTGCTACTACACCACATAGCTCTGAAATATCAGTGTCGTATAATCGATCACTCTTTTTTGTAAGAGTCTAAAACAAAACCAGTCTTGTAAAAAAGGGTGCATAGTCAAACCCGCCCTTATAGTAAGGGTCATAAGGGTGAGTCACCCTGATATCGAGAGGCCTGGCCACACCCCATTCAAACACAGGAAAAATCGAGGCACGTCACCATCGATAGCTCGTTCAAAATATTATAGCGCGATTATTGCTAGGCCCACCAGCTCTCACACGTGCTTCAATTTCTGGGGTTTCTCGTCTCGCTCTCGATGTACAGTAGTCACAACAATGTCATCTGGTTCGAAGCGCACGCGGTTCGTAGTCGTCACATTCTCCTCCCAATCTCTCCTGGGCCTCTGAAATTTCCTCCGTCTCCCTCCCTCCTCCCCTCTTCCTCCACCTCGAGCCCTGTTCCGCCAATCAAGCGATTTTCCAGTCCAGTTTCCCTTGCCTAGCCAGCCACACGCAAATCTCGTGCTCTTGCATTTGCCCCTAGTTTTCCAGCCCAGCCTCTTCCCCTAATCCCACCCGCCACTCATCATTACACACACTCCCAGGTTTCCTCCAACATGCTTGAGCCCTCGAGGCGCGCGCGACTCGAAGTTGATCGTGAGTGGCACGCGCTTTCTCCACAAGCCACGAGCCTCCTCACCATCGTCTTCACTACACAGATGGCGTGCGCTGTCCTTTCGGTAGTAGGTCCTTTCGGTAGTAGAAACGAGTCGTTTCTACCAGCGCGATACCGACAGATGGTGCAACAGGCTCCGCTGGAGCCATGCCTTCGTTCTTGTACATCCACAAATACCGCCTCTTGCGCCTCGTGATTCGTGAACATTAAACTACGGAGAGCAGTGGTAGTCGATCCAAGACAGTGCGATCCCATCCCGTGCTTGCCAAGTGATTGTGCCATAGTACTAGAATATCAGCGCCGGGATGGCAAGGTGTTTGTATCTTCGCGGCGTGTCCTTCAGTGTCCTCGTAGTTCTAACCCTCCTTGAGATTGCCGCGCACCCGAAAACAGTGACTGCAGCACGCCGCGCCGGCGGAGCCGATGGCAACAAGCGGGCCCCGCCCCCCGATCTATTGCCCGCGTTTGAATTGCTTCCAACCTGCAAATCTAAAGGTAAATACCTAGAACCAGCTAGTTTTGGCCTTGAGCAATGTAGCCTGCGTTATATGAGGCAAGTATCTATCAGAATCCGGATGGCATCCGGCAATCGCTCAACCAGCGAAGGCGTATTCATTCATCTTTCACGCTTTGCTTGCAGGTGCGATCAATGTCACAGTTTCGCCAGAGTTCGTCGGGACCACGTGGCGAGGGTGGGGAACTTCGCTCGCATGGTTCGCAAATTACGTCGGCGGCTTACCGCAGCAGCAGCTGACCGCAATCCTCGACCTTATTTTTGAACCCATTAACGGTCTCGGACTGAACATCGTACGTTACAACATCGGAGGGGGACACCACGACGAACGGAGCCCGCAGTTTCATCAAAACTCGGAGGCAGATTGGCGGGGAATTCCGGGTTTCAAGCCGACGAAGGACGGGCCGTACGATTGGAGCGCGGACAAAAGGCAGCGGATCGTGCTGCAGGGAGCAAAGGAGAGAGGCGCGAATGTCATAGAGGCGTTTTCGAACAGCCCGCCCTGGTGGATGACGAAAACGGGTGACGTAGCAGGTGCGGTATGGAAAGGGGAGACAAATTTGCTGCCTGAGTACGAGAAGGCTTTCGCAGACTACTTGACGACAGTCGTGGCGGAGTTCGCGAAAAGGTGGAAAATTAGATTTGATGCGTTGGAGCCGTTTAACGAGGCGCTGGAGGGCTTTTGGAAGGTCGGAAAAGAACACGAGGGGTGTACGTTCAATCCCCCCGAGATGGGCCGTGTCATAAAGTACACCTCGGACTCGTTAAAAGTGAAGCGGCTTAAAACGAAGTTGGTGGGGGTGGACAGCTGGGATGGCATGACCGCTCAGCTACCTCGGATCGCGAATCATGAGCTACTGACGCGGATAAATGTTCACGCGTACGTGAATAGTTACCACGAGGCGAGTGTGGCTGCGACGTACGAAAAAAAGTTCGGCAGTATTCGCGACACGGCAAAGTTGCTGGGGAGGGAAGTGTGGGTTAGCGAAGCTGGAGCGCTAAACAAACGGGGGAGCTTTTGGGACCTTTCGCTGTACATGGCGCGAAATGTTATCGAGAGCGTCAATATCATGGAGACTTCGGCGTACATGATCTGGCAGGCATACGATTTTGCTGCGCATTGGTCATGCATCGACTTCCCACCGAGTTATCCGTCGAATTACACAGGCGAAATGGAGATGCCTAAAGCGAACAAGCGGTTTTGGATCTTCAAGCATTTTACCATGCTTGCCGGACCTGGATCCAAGCCGCTCAAGATAAATTCGGGCTGTTGGCACGGCATGAGCGCGTTCTACAGCCCCGGCGAAAAGCGGGTTACGGTTTTCGTCGTGAATCAGAAGGCGGACGACAAGCACGTGACGATCAATCTAGACGGTTTCACGATGAACGTGGGGGGATCTACCAAGGTTGTTGTAAGGCGAACGACTTGGTCTACAGATTTCACCGTCAAGGTGTACAAGAAGCAAGTTGCGGGGCTGATTGTATGGGGGCAAAGCTTCGCTTCTGTCACCTTCACTAACGTGTCATATTAAGAGGCTAGACTAAGGTGTCATACTACCAGGAGGTAGGTTCTGTATGAGGGCAGAGCTTAGTTTCTGTCACCTTCACAAACTTGGAATACCTACTAAAGAGGCTATGAGTAGATGTCCTTGTTCTGAAGCAGTCCCCACTTGATGTCTACTAAAGCACTCCTCGCTGATTAAACCTGTCATACCTACTACTAAGAGGCTATGTAGAAGATGTCCTTGTTCTGGAGCAGTCCCCAGTTGATGTCTACTAAAGCATTCCCCACCCCACTTGATTACCAAAAGGCACCTCGTTTTGGAGCAGTTCCCACTTGATGACTCATCCTAGCTATGGTTCTGGATCTAGATTGTTATATATGCTGCCAGAGGTGGAAAATCTTGTCATGTTACGGAGAGACTGTAGGATTCTAGTTGGGCCCAACTAGAAGGGCGGGGGGCACTATTTCATGGAAAATCATATATTGTCACATGTGCTTCCCACCAGCTTTTTTGTGCCATATTCTACAAATCCATAATGTTGCAACCTGCTGGCAAATACACTCCTTGGGTGAAACAAATCCCTAAGCTCTTCACTCGGATTTGGATTCGGCTGCAGCAGGTGGCGGAGGGGGGAGCCCTGGCCTCATTACAAGGTAGAGGGCAGGGCCTATAACGGGGAGGAAGGGGAGAGCAACACCCCATGAGTCTCTAGGCGCCCTGAAAACACAAGAGAGTGTTGGGGTGTGACAAAAGGAGGGTTATGGTGAGATGAAGGGAAGCATTTGAGATATCTGAAAAGTCTTATAATGAGGATGAAAGGAGAGCAACACCCCATGAGTCTCTAGGCGCCCTGGATACACACAAGGGACGGTTGGAGAGTGATGGAAGGCTAGGGTGAGATAAGGGAAAGCCTTTGCGACATCTCAAAAACCATGGCATGGCAGGTGGGATGGCAGGGCATCAGGCATGGCAGGGCATCAGGCATGGCAGGGCATCAGGTATGGCAGGGCATCAGGTATGGCAGGGTATCAGGTATGGCATCAGGTATGGCAACAGGTATGGCATCAGGCATGGCATCAGGTAAGGCATCCGGTATGGCATCAGGTACGGAATCAGGTATGGCATCAGGTATGGCATCAGGTGTAGGCCATGTCATTGCCGAGCCAGAAGGGCAGAAAGATGTTGAGAGGCAAGCACGCCAATAAACCCACCATGTCACAGCATACATAGCATAGCGCTAAGCCAGCACCCACAGCTCACCCACCAGTTCCTCAGCTCAGCTCACGTACCAGTTCCTCAGCTCACGTACCAGTTCCTCAGCTCACGTACCAGTTCCTGTAGGCCAAGTCATTGAAAAGCCAGAAGGGCAGGAACATGTTGAGACAAGCATGCCACGGCTCTTTGCAAGCACACAGCACCTGTGGTTCATCAGACCACCAGCACACATACCAGCTCATGGCACACATACCAGCTCATGGCACACATACCAGCTCATGGCACACATACCAGCTCATGGCACACATAACAGCTCATGGCACACATAACAGCTCATGGCAAACATACCAGCTCATGGCAAACATACCAGCTCATGGCACACATAACAGCTCATGGCACACATACCAGCTCATGGCACACATACCAGCTCATGGCACACATAACAGCTCATGGCAAACATACCAGCTCATGGCACACATAACAGCTCATGGCACACATACCAGCTCATGGCACACATACCAGCTCATGGCACACATACCAGCTCATGGCACACATACCAGCTCATGGCACACATACCAGCTCATGGCACACATACCAGTTCCTGTAAGCCATGTCGTTGAAAAGCCAGAAGGGCAGGAACATGTTGAGAAGAACAAAATCCATTGAGGTGACATGGATCTGATGGGGATACGGGGAACGGTGCAGTGGGGTGGGCAGGGATAGAGGGGTGTGGATGACGTTAAACAGGGGGAACATGTTGAGGAGAACGAAATCAATCGAGGTGACATGGATCTGATGGGGCGAGGGGAGGGAGGGGGAAGGGGAAGGGGGACGGGGAAGGGGGACGGGGAAGGGGTAAGGAGAGTGCAGGGGAGGTTGGGTGTCAACACTGGGGTGAGTTGACGAGGAGGAACTTGTTGAGGAAGACAAATCCATTGAGGTGACATGGATCTGATGGGGCGAGGGGAGGGAGGGGGAAGGGGAAGGGGGACGGGGAAGGGGGACGGGGAAGGGGGGACGGGGAAGGGGTAAGGAGAGTGCAGGGGAGGTTGGGTGTCAACACTGGGGTGAGTTGACGAGGAGGAACTTGTTGAGGAAGACAAATCCATTGAGGTGACATGGATCTGATGGGGATACGGGGAAAGGGGGGAAGGGGATGGGGATGGGGATGGGGATGGGGATGGGGATGGGGATGGGGATGGGGATGGGGATGGGGATGGGGATGGGGATGGGGATGGGGACGGGGATGGGGATGGGGATGGGGACGGGGAGGGGGGATGGGGATGGGGATGGGGATGGGGACGGGGAGGGGGGATGGGGATGGGGATGGGGATGGGGATGGGGATGGGGACGGGGAGGGGGGATGGGGATGGGGATGGGGATGGGGACGGGGAGGGGGGATGGGGATGGGGATGGGGACGGTGAGGGGGGATGGGGATGGGAACGGGGAACGGGAAGGGGAAAAATAGGGGAGGTTGGGTGTGAAGATTGGGGTGAGTTGAAGGGCAGGAACACGTTGAGAAGGACATGGAGCCTGGAAAGTCAGCCCCTTCCCCACCCTGCACCACTCTGCACCACTCTGCACCTCTCTGCACCTCTCTGCATCTCTCTGCACACATGCAAGCAACCAAGCTCAAGCCAGTCAGCAGCACTCTAACTCGTAAGAAAAAATACTCGCATTGCAATCCCCAGCACCAGCCTACACCATTCTCTGCCACACTGCACCGCTCTGCACTGCACCTATGAATATACTTACCAAGAGGCTCTCCTGAAAATACTGTAAGAATTCAAGCCAGTCAGTGGACGGTGCCGTTGCTGCACTGATGACCAACCCTGATGCTGCCAGCAGCAGTAGCTGCAGGGGAAAGGGGATGGAGGGGAGGGCAGAGGAGAGAGATGAAGGGTTAAAGTTAGTCAGTTGACGTGACAGTGCCGTTGCTGCACTGATGACCAGCCCTGATGCTGCCAGCAGCAACAACTGTGGGGGGGATTTTGAGATGAGTGTGTGTGTGTGCAGGAGGAAAGGGTGCAGGGGGGCAGAAGGTTGGGTTATGGGGGTCCCAAGGCAGAAGGCAGTCAGCCGATGGTGCCGTTGCTGCACTGATGACCAACCCTGATGCTGCCAGCAGCAGTAGCTGCAAGGGAGGGGTGTTGAGAGTTCACGGAAGGGAGGGAATAGGGGAGCACGGAACAGAAAGGGAAGGGTCTTAAGCCAGTCGGTTGACAGGGCCGTTGCTGCTCTGATGACCAACCCTGATGCTGCCAGCAGCAGTAACTGCAGCAAAAGATATTTATACGGGGAAGAAAGAGAGCATAAGGGGAAGGAAGCAGAGGAGGGCGGGGCAGAGGGTTGGTGAAGGGTCTCAAGCTCAAGCCTGTGAGCAGCGGGTGCTGCTGCTGCACTGATCCAATCCTGATGCTGCCAGCAACAACGGCTGCTGCTGCTGTGTGTGGGGGGGGTAGTGGGGAAGATTAGTGAGTGTGAGGAGAATGAGTGGGTGTGCAGGAGGAAGGAAGGAGAGAGGGCCAATGGGTTTCCACCCAGTTAGCTGGAAGTGCTGTTGAGAAGGACCTTCTCTAGTGATACAAAGCTGTGTTGCCTTCTCACTAGAGAGAGTCTAGCCCTGTGACTCAATATATGAAGAAGTGTTTTGAGACGTCTCAAAACAGAGTCTAGCCCCGTGACTCAATATATGAAGAAGTGTTTTGAGACGTCTCAAAACAGAGTCTAGCCCTGTGACTCAATATATGAAGAAGTGTTTTGAGACGTCTCAAAACAGAGTCTAGCCCTGTGACTCAATATATGAAGAAGTGTTTTGAGACGTCTCAAAACAGAGTCTAGCCCCGTGACTCAATATATGAAGAAGAGTTTTGAGACGTCTCAAAACAGAGTCTAGCCCCGTGACTCAATATATGAAGAAGTGTTTTGAGACGTCTCAAAACAGAGTCTAGCCCCATGACTCAATATATGAAGAAGTGTTTTGAGACGTCTCAAAACAGAGTCTAGCCCTGTGACTCAATATATGAAGAAGTGTTTTGGGACGTCTCAAAACAGAGTCTAGCCCCGTGACTCAATATATGAAGAAGTGTTTTGAGACGTCTCAAAACAGAGTCTAGCCCCGTGACTCAATATATGAAGAAGAGTTTTGAGACGTCTCAAAACAGAGTCTAGCCCCGTGACTCAATATATGAAGAAGTGTTTTGGGACGTCTCAAAACAAAGTCTAGCCCCGTGACTCAATATATGAAGAAGTGTTTTGAGACGTCTCAAAACAGAGTCTAGCCCCGTGACTCAATATATGAAGAAGTGTTTTGAGACGTCTCAAAACAGAGTCTAGCCCCGTGACTCAATATATGAAGAAGAGTTTTGAGACGTCTCAAAACAGAGTCTAGCCCCGTGACTCAATATATGAAGAAGTGTTTTGAGACGTCTCAAAACAGAGTCTAGCCCCATGACTCAATATATGAAGAAGTGTTTTGAGACGTCTCAAAACAGAGTCTAGCCCTGTGACTCAATATATGAAGAAGTGTTTTGGGACGTCTCAAAACAGAGTCTAGCCCCGTGACTCAATATATGAAGAAGTGTTTTGAGACGTCTCAAAACAGAGTCTAGCCCCGTGACTCAATATATGAAGAAGAGTTTTGAGACGTCTCAAAACAGAGTCTAGCCCCGTGACTCAATATATGAAGAAGTGTTTTGGGACGTCTCAAAACAGAGTCTAGCCCCGTGACTCAATATTCATCGCGCTGATGATTCGGATTCAAGCAATTGCAGCCCGACTTTCTCCCTCTCCGCCTCAGTCAGAACTGGTGCTGCTCCGAATTTCAGAGGGCAAAGAGGGGCAGAGGAGGCGAAGAAGCGCAAACAAGCAACAGCAGAAGGGCTGAGCACCAAACTCACCGTGCTGGTAACTTTTGAGTCGACTCAAAAGAAGGGCTGAGCACCAGACTCACCGCGCTGGTAATTTTGGATTCAAGCCCGCACAGCCCAACCTTCCCCCTCTCCTCCTCCGTGGGTACTGCTGCTGCTCCGGGCGTCCAGAGGGCGAAGGCGAACAGGCAGTAGCAGCGCTTACACACTTTCCTTCGCTAGAATCGAGTGACTTGAGACTCACCGCGCTGGTGATTTTGGACTCGAGCACTCGCAGGCGAACAGGCGAACAGGCAATACCAGAGCTTTCACCCCTACTTTCATTAGAGTCGAGTGACTTGAGACTCACCGCGCTGGTGATTTTGGACTCGAGCACTCGCAGGCGAACAGGCGAACAGGCAATACCAGAGCTTTCACCCCTACTTTCATTAGAGTCGAGTGACTTGAGACTCACCGTGCTGGTGATTTTGGACTCGAGCACTCGCAGGCGAACAGGCGAACAGGCAATACCAGAGCTTTCACCCCTACTTTCATTAGAGTCGAGTGACTTGAGACTCACCGTGCTGGTGATTTTGGACTCGAGCACTCGCAGGCGAACAGGCGAACAGGCAATACCAGAGCTTTCACCCCTACTTTCATTAGAGTCGAGTGACTTGAGACTCACCGCGCTGGTGATTTTGGACTCGAGCACTCGCAGGCGAACAGGCGAACAGGCAATACCAGAGCTTTCACCCCTACTTTCATTAGAGTCGAGTGACTTGAGACTCACCGCGCTGGTAATTTTGGACTCGAGCACTCGCAGGCGAACAGGCAATACCAGAGCTTTCACCCCTACTTTCATTAGAGTCGAGTGACTTGAGACTCACCGTGCTGGTGATTTTGGACTCGAGCACTCGCAGGCGAACAGGCGAACAGGCAATACCAGAGCTTTCACCCCTACTTTCATTAGAGTCGAGTGACTTGAGACTCACCGCGCTGGTGATTTTGGACTCGAGCACTCGCAGGCGAACAGGCGAACAGGCAATACCAGAGCTTTCACCCCTACTTTCATTAGAGTCGAGTGACTTGAGACTCACGCGCTGGTGATTTTGGACTCGAGCACTCGCAGGCGAACAGGCGAACAGGCAATACCAGAGCTTTCACCCCTACTTTCATTAGAGTCGAGTGACTTGAGACTCACGCGCTGGTGATTTTGGACTCGAGCACTCGCAGGCGAACAGGCGAACAGGCAATACCAGAGCTTTCACCCCTACTTTCATTAGAGTCGAGTGACTTGAGACTCACCGTGCTGGTAATTTTGGACTCGAGCACTCGCAGGCGAACAGGCGAACAGGCAATACCAGAGCTTTCACCCCTACTTTCATTAGAGTCGAGTGACTTGAGACTCACCGCGCTGGTGACTTTGGACTCGAGCACTCGCAGGCGAACAGGCGAACAGGCAATACCAGAGCTTTCACCCCTACTTTCATTAGAGTCGAGTGACTTGAGACTCACCGCGCTGGTGATTTTGGACTCGAGCACTCGCAGGCGAACAGGCGAACAGGCAATACCAGAGCTTTCACCCCTACTTTCATTAGAGTCGAGTGACTTGAGACTCACCGCGCTGGTGATTTTGGACTCGAGCACTCGCAGGCGAACAGGCGAACAGGCAATACCAGAGCTTTCACCCCTACTTTCATTAGAGTCGAGTGACTTGAGACTCACCGCGCTGGTGACTTTGGACTCGAGCACTTTCAGCCCCACTTTCCCCCTCTCCTCCTCCGTGGGTACTGCTGCCTTTCCGGGTGTCCAGAGGGCAAAGAAGGGCAGCAGGGCGAATGCCCCTGCGAAGAATGAGGCAATGAGGAAGGGCCACGCGGGGATGGTGGTGCGATTGCTGGGAAACACGGAAGGGGAATGGGGGGGTTGCAAGGGAAGAAGGAAGGTGGAGAAGGCAGGTATCAGGAGCCCCACACGTCCAAAGAGCAAAGAAGGGCAACAGGGCGAATGCTCCTGCGAAGAATGAGGGGATGAGGAAGGGCCACGCTGGGATGGTGGTGCGATTGCTGGAGACGGGGCAAGGGGAGGGGGGTGGAAGGCAGGAATCAGGAACACTGGGCGTCCAGAGGGCAAAGAAGGGCAGCAGGGCGAAGGCCCCTGCGAAGAATGAGGCGATGAGAAAGGGCCACGCTGGGATGGTGGCATGATTGCTGGGAAACAGGCAGGGGGATTTGGGGGGGGGGGGGGGGGGGGGGGGGGGGTGTGCGAGGGGAGTGGGGGAAAGGCAGGTGTCAGGAACCCCACATGTCCGGAGGGCAAAAAGGGCAGCAGGGCGAAGGGGGAGAGGAGGGAAAGGCAGGTGTCAGGAACCCCGAATGTCCAGAGGGCGAAGAAGGGCAGCATTGCGAAGAAGGGCAGCAGGGCGAAGGCCCCTGCGAAGAATGAGGCAATGAGAAAGGGCCACGCTGGGATGGTGGTGCGATGGCAGGGGGGGGGACGGGGAGGTGGGGGGAAGGGAGTACGAGTGGGGGTAAAAGGAAAGGGCCAAGGGGGGGGGGGCTTGTTAAGCGTCCGGATCAGAGAGCGAAGAAGACGCGTATACATATGTATGTACGTGCAGGCGAGATGCAGGCATGAGTGTTGCAGCATATATGCCTAGCTGGATGGCTGGCAGGCAGGCATCACACGCCGATGAGGTTAACGAGGCATGAATTCCTCCGGGCATCACACCCGTGAGGTTCCACAACGCCACGAACACACCTGGTTGGTTGGTTCATCACGAAGCCAAGAAGAGTGACAGTACACTCCATGCATTCACACATGCATTCACACATGCATTCACACATGCATTCACACATGCATTCACACATGCATTCACACATGCACACGTACACCCGTGCACGTACATGCGAGAAGCAGGGATGAGAGTGTGGCAGAGCGTATATGCCCGGCATGACCCGGCATGACGCCCACGAGGTTCCACAGCGCGCCATGAACACACCTGGTTCATTTTGAGGCGCCTCAAAATACACCTGGTTCATCCCGCACCCGAGTGACCATATGGAACGCTCCATTGCAACCCGTTACGTACGTGCAAGAAGCAGGGACGAGTGTGGCAGACTGGCAGTGTATATGCATGGCATGACGCCCATGAGGTTCCACAATGCCACGAGCACACCTGGTTCATCAGGACCGGCAAGCATAAACGCACCCATAACATGCATGCAAGTGTACATACGTGCGAGAAGCGGGCACGAGCGTAGCAGCGTATATGCCCGGCATCACACCCATGAGGTTCCACAACGCCACGAGCACCTGGTTCATCACGAACCCATCGTCTCCCCTCAGGTTCAGAAGCTTCTCTAGAAAGTACTGATCGCGGTACTGTGGGGGGGAGTGGAAAGGTGGGGGAAGGTGGGGGAAAGGGGGTGGGGGGAGGCGGGAGAGGAGAATGGGGCGGAAAGGAGGCGAAGCTTGAGCACCTGGTTCATCACGAAGCCATCGTCGCCCCTCAGATTCGAAGCTTCTCTAGAAAGTACTGATCGCGGTACTGCAGGGGGGGGGGGGGGGGGAGGGAAGGGGAGGGGGAGGGGGACGGGAGGGGGAGGGGCGAGGAGGCGGGAGAGGATAAGAAGAAAAGGGAAAAGGGTAGGGAACAAGGGCGATGGGGGAGATGGGGAGGGAGGCAAGTACACCTGGTTCATCACGAACCCATCGTCGGCCCTCAGGTAGGGAAGCTCCTGGCTACACCAACCACTGATAAGCTGCCACGTACTGGCGTCTGATGGGGCGCAAAAAACGCGGCATACGCGATCAGCCCCGCCCACAGGAGGAAGATCCCCGCAGTTGTCGCCTGCCCCAAAAGCTTCCCCTCATCCCCTTCCGCCGCCACCGCTCCCCCCGCTGCCGCTTCCCCCGCGGGCGGCTGCGGAGCCTCCGCCAGTTTATTTGCTTCCGCGCTTGCGCCTGCGCTTGATCCTTCCGCGGATCCTCCTGCTGGCGCTTTCGGCGGCTCCACGCTTGCGCTTACGCGCGGTAAGGCGCGGGTTAGGCGGAAAACGAGCTTCTGTGGGGAGCCTGGGCGCAAGGCTTGCGCCGGGGTGATGCGCGGAAGCGAAAAGGCGGGATTTGATAGGCGCGCGGGCGCATGGAACGCGGAGATTGGGGGAGTGGGAAGGGAAGCGACTGCATTGGGGACTGTTGCGAGTCTTAGTGAGGGGGAGAGGGCGTGAACGAGCATGATGGATGTGACTAAAACGAAATCAGGGCAATGGGAAAAGAACGGAGGGTGGGGGGTGCGGAGATTTTCTTGCGAAGCGAACACTGGCGCTGCGGGAAGGAGCCACCTAAAGTGGATGGATGTCGCATAACGCGTGGGAGAGCTTCTAGAGGGGGGTGGGGGGGAAGTTATGAACAAGATGAGAGGAACGAGGTCACAACAATATGCTCAAAACCCCACCCGAACGTGCTGGAACAGAACTAAACCGTTTCAAAACTAGAACCAACCTCTTTCAACTTCTGGCGTCCTCTCAAGGTATCCTCGGCAACGACTGAAGCATTTCACAGCATAAATTTACAGCATAAAAAAAACTGTCTTTCTGTTCTGTGATTACAGCTCTTTCCTAAGAAGTCAAATAGCAACATCTGGAATGCACTTATTCATTCTCCAAGCGATCAAAGTATGGTAATTCCAGTTCTGACAACCCTGCCAAACGGTGGTTCTAGTGCATTTAGATCGTCACTCGTAGCTAAGGGCGCGTAACTTTTTCCATTTTCGTCAAATGTCCGGACGGAGCCTCCAAACTGGCCGGACGGAGCTCCGTCCGGACGTTTGGGAAGCAGGTCCGGACGATAGGGCGTCCGGACCACAATTGTGCAACTTTTTCCCCTATCGAAAATGTAGAATCTCGCCACGAAAAATAACACGCATTACAGAAATCGTATAGCACTTGGAGATTTCGCCACCAAAATTTGACGGCATCCTATTGGTTGGAAAATCATTCAATTCGTGGCCGAATCACATCGCAGATAAAACGGACCGTCCGAAATGCCGTTCGGACGGAGTCAGCAGGTTAGTCCGGACCACTTTTTGGCAGAAAAGTGCCAGATTGAGTCCGGACGGTAGCGACGTCGCAGGGGGTCTTGCGAACGTCTAAACAGACTGTTACGAAATTAGTTACCCTACAGAAGTTCGGACGGGGCCTCCGTCCGGACGATGAAAGGTGAAAAAGTTCATGGCACCCAGGTTCCTGGCCTGGCTGGGCAGTGGGCACTAAAGGGGCTGTCATACGGTAAGCCAGCATTCACTCGCTCTTCCCAGGACTAATGCATTCTGTGCTGCACAAGCTTCTCAGCCTGCTCTCATTACCAGCAACAGCCATAAGCTTTCAGAGCTCACATATCAACTGTCTGTAAACAATCTAAATAGAAATTAAACACATTTGAGATGATAATGTCGACAAATAGTTTGGAATGACAGGGTGAAATAATAAAAACGCTTCATGACAGCTTTCCTACCACAACATACACGTCATGAACCAAAACTTACATGCTGGCACCTGAAACAATCTCAATCAGCTCGCCAGTAATCTTGGCTTGCCTCCGCCTGTTGTAGGTCAGGTTCAGGCTCCTCTTCAGCTCCTTAGCGTTATCGCTGGCGTTACCCATGGCATTCATACGAGCAGCGAGCTCGCTGGCAAGCGACTCTTGCAGAGCACGGAGGATCTGGCTGTTCAGGTAAAGCGGGAGCAGAGCGTCGAGGATCTGCACAGGCTCCTGCTCAAACCCTAGCACGCCCGTGAACTCGGGGGTCTCGGTCCTGATCGTCTCGCGTTCGACGGCGAACTTGCCCTCCTTAGTCGTCAGCCTGAAGAGCTCGTCCTCAGCAGCGTCCACGCAAATGCCGTTGATGTCGCAGACCTCGCCGGCGGGGGAGAGAGGCAGCAGCGTGTGGACCACAGGGTCGGACTTGATCAGGGACACGAACTTGGTGTAGATCAGCTCGACCTTGTCAACCTCCTCCGACACGAACAGGGAGAAGATCTCGTCGGCGATGGCCTGGGCCTCCTTGGTGGTGGGAGCAGCGCCGACCTCGAGGTACCTGTCGACGGCGTACTGGGGACGCCTCTTGAAGAAGGCGTTACCCTTCTTGCCGATGGACACAATGGTGTAAGCCACACCCAGCTTCGTCAGCTCAGCCACGCGAGCCTCGGCCTTCTTGAGGACGTAGTTGTTAAAGCCACCGCAGAGACCGCGGTCGCCGGTGTTAACGACGATGGCGACCTTCTTCACGGGACGGACCTCGGTCAGAGGAATGTCAACGTCCTCGTTCTGGAGCTGCTCGTTAACGTTGTAAAGCACCTTAACGAGGTTTTCCGAGAAGGGACGGCCGTTGACGACGGCCTCCTGAGCCCTGCGCACCTTCGCGGCAGCGACAAGCTTCATCGCATCAGTAATCTTCTGGGTGTTCTTAACCGACTCGATACGGTCGCGCATCGCCTTCAGCGAGCAGGTGGTGCGGGGAGCACCCTCCGCGCCCTTAGTCTTAAGCTCCACATTGGAGTCAGCGTTCACCCGGCTGGAAGGCAGGCTACGGCTGGACAGACCCTCAAAAGAAGGGCACGCGAGCTTGGTGCTCCAGGACATAGCGGCGGCCATGGCGTCTTGGGAAAAGGTTCACAAGACAAGGAACCAGTCTAGCGAAGCTGGAAACAGCTTCTGAGTGCGGAATGGAGCTAGAGAGACTTGGGAGAGTTGAGAGAAAAATCAGAACCTTGGGAGGGAGGAGGTTCCAGGTGCAGAGCGGAACCCGCGGAAATAAAACCTAATGGCGCGCGGAATACAGTACTGCGCGGGGGATGCTCCTCGAGAAAACTGTTCTGGCGCGGCAGAAATCCCTAGGGTGCGCGGAGAACCGCGGGAAAGAGGGACGGCGGTGGCTAGGAAAAGGAAATCTCGAGGGAGTGGCGGAACGATGGCGCGGGACTTTTGGTATGGTATCTGTGATGGCTGGGATGTAAATGGCACAGATCTCACCGTCGATGTGCCAGGTGGAAACGAGTTGAACGGCTTTCGTGTGGTTTGCTCGTGCCACGTGGCATCGGAGATGCCCTAGTCGGATGGAAGCGTTATCCGGTGGGCTGCAGTTTGGTGGCTGCGGCGAAGAGATGGGAAATGCGCATGATGCGAGTGGTCCAGCGAAGCAGCTAGCTTTTCTGGCTACCACAAGCTGTCGCTAGCCAATCACGAGCTTTTCTGTCGCGAAAAATCGCTTGTGCAAATGACGGAACAGCGACGCCTTATAGCAGCCTGAAGCAATATGTACGTGGTTCATATTACGCTGTATATATTTTGCTTGACCCAATCATGTTTACATAGCAGGAGCATGTATGGTACAAGATTCCTCTGGATTGTGTCCTCTCAGCTGCTCTTGAGCATATATAGTTGCAACCTGTACATGTACAATCAAAATAGTGCATAATCCGCTATTAGTGCACAGCCTTTGCTGACATACATAATTAAATTAGCACTAGTCATATTCATATTCTGTAGCTCATCCTCGTCCTCCACCGCCTCTGTATCTATCAGCCTCTCGCATCCGTTCTGCTTCACGTGCTGCTTTCATGGACGAATTTCCATCAGACTTGCTCCTCTGCTGTCCCACAAACCGGTAATTCTCCTCATCATCGCCTTCATTCAACTCACCCCTCCTACTAGCCCATGAATTTCCCTCACCAACGCCACCACCTCTGTGATTCCTGTTATTATTTACCCTGCAATTTCCCTTGCTATCAGGGCTATTTCCTGGGCTATTATGGGGGCTATTACCTGGGGATATGGGGGGAGAGCTCTGCAAGCGGCGCAGAGAACCCGCGCCGCCCGGGCTGGAGGAGAGGGGCGGCAGAAACGCCGGCACCTCGCTCCTTGTCTTCTTGTGCGCTGCATGTCTGGGCGGCGTGCTGTTTGCCTCAACCTGCAGAAGGGGGTGTGTGTAGCGGGCAGATGAAAGCGCACAAATGAGGGAAACAAACCCAAGCAGGATGGCTAAAGCTGTTTCTCTCTCCCCCTGTCGCTCTCTTTGTAGTCGACTCAAAAGCCACCTCTTCTCCTACTCCCCTCTTTCCTCACTCACCTCTCCACTTACTCTCGTCACTGGGAAGTCCACCCACTGACTACCCTCACCTGGGAGATCCACTTGTCCACTTGCGGGTTGTGTGCGCGTTCAATCCACATGCGCACGTCCTGCGCTGCCTTTTGCTAACAGCCTGCAGCGCTTAAACACTCGTCCTACTACTGCCTACACCTGGCAGCTCCACTGACTGCCCTCACCTGGGAGATCCATTTATCCACTTGGGCGTTGTGTGCGCGCTCGATCCACATCCTCAGGTCCTGTGCCGCTCTCTGCTCTGACCCCGTGCGCCTCTGCTGCTGCTGCAGCAACGGAGGCTCCATGCTCGTACTGCGCACTAACGGCCGAGATCCCTCCCCCCCACCCAGAGGTATCTCCCCTCCTCCTCTTCTCTCTCTTCCCTCCTCTCCTGCACCAGGCACTAACGGCCGAGAGCCCTCCCCTCCTGCTCGAGATCCCTCCCCTCCTCTCCTCTCTCTTCCATCTTGCCCCTCCCTCCCCTCTCTTCCCTCCTCGCCCCGCCCTCCCTTCTCCCCTTTCCACCGCTCTGCACCACTCTCTAATTGCCTCCTCCCCTCAGCTACCCGGCTTCCTCCTCCACTTCCACCTCTGTTGCTCCTCTCGCTCCCCTCACCACCTCTCGCCATTCCCTCTCTACCCTCTCTATTGTCCCTGCCCTCTCTATTGTCCCTGCCCTCTCTATTGTCCCTGCCCTCTCTATTGTCCCTGCCCTCTCTATTGTCCCTGCCCTCTCTATTGTCCCTGCCCTCTCTATTGTCCCTGCCCTCTCTATTGTCCCTGCCCTCTCTATTGTCCCTGCCCTCTCTATTGTCCCTGCCCTCTCTATTGTCCCTGCCCTCTCTATTGTCCCTGCCCTCCCCATAACCCAAGAGCCAACTCTCTGTACCTCGGCCTACCCCTTGCCCTTTGTCCCCTTGTTCTCTCCCACTCCCAACACCATGCCCCACCGCTCGCCCCTCCTTAGAGTCACTCCTGCTAATGCCACTTCCGCTGCTGCTGGCATTACCACTCCCACCAGCACCAGCACCGCTGCCACCACTGGTAGTGCTACCACTCGTGGTGGTGGTGGTGTTGGAGGTGGCGGTGCCAGCTACAGGTGGTTTTGGGCTAAAACCAGGACTTCTTCCCCCTCCTCCTCCTCCTCCCCCCCCTTCCTCCCCCTCCCCCCTCCTCCCCCCTCCCCCTCCCGTTCCTCCCCAGACCTCAAACCCCCCTGTGGGCCTTGGGGGGATCTTGATGGGCGATTTGCCCATTCCCAGCCGTCGATTCTGAGGCCCGGTTGATCCTGGCCCTTGATTACGCGACTCCTGATCTGAGCCGTTGGATGGAGTTCTTCTGTGTGGAGGCTTCATTGCTACTGCTACAGTACCTCTGCCGCTCCCCCCTTCCCCTCTTCCCCCTCCCGCTCCTCCCCCTTCCGCTCTACCCCCTCCCCCTCCTCCACCTTCCCCTCCTCCTCCCCCTCTTCCTCCCCCCCCCTCCTCCCCCCCGCCCTTCCCCTCCGGACGCATCCCCCCTTCCCCTTCCCCCTGCCCCCCTCCCTCCTGGCCCCCCTACCCCACCTCCCCTTCCCACTGCTCCCCCCACCCCTGCTCCTCTCCCCCCTGACAGGCCTCCCCTTCCCCCTACTGCTGTTCCCCGCCCCCCACCCCCTCCTGCTGCCACCCTACCTCCCCCCTCAGCTCCCCTCCCCCTTCCTCCTCCTCCTCCCATCCCTCTCCCTCTCCCTCCCCCTCCTCCTCCTCCTCCTCCTCCTCCTCCTCCTCCTCCTCCTCCTCCTCCTCCTCCTCCTCCTCCTCCTCCTCCTCCTCCTCCTCCTCCTCCTCCTCCTCCTCCTCCTCCCCCCCCTCCCCCTCCCCCTCCCCCTCCCCCTACCCCACCTCCTCCTCCTCCCCCTACCCCTCCCCCTCCCCCTACCCCTCCCCCCTCCTCCTCCTCCTCCTCCTCCTGCTGCTGCTCCTGCTTCTGCGGCTGCGGCTGCGGCTGCAGCTGTTGCCGCCGTAGGAGACTTAATTCTCTCCCACACCTCCTCTATCGAAAGTGCTGTGATACGAGCACCACCAGCATTTCCAGCACCAGCACTGGCACCACCAGCACCGGCACCAGCAGAACCGGCGGCAGCAGCAGCACTTGAAGCAGGAGCACCAAGAAGGGGGCGAGTGGGGGCGACAGCACTCGGACCCAAATTCCTACCCACGGCCATACCCCTCCCTTTGGACGTCAGCGCCGCTAGCGCAAACTCCCGAAGCATCCTCTCATCTTCTGTCTCTGGCCCTCCTCTCTCACTCCCCCCTCCCGCTCCCGCTCCCCCTCCTCCTCCCCCTCCCGCATGCGCATACTCATGATCGTGTTTCTGCCCAGATGTAACAGGTCTTCTGTTCGCTCCACTATCAAAAGCTTTCCCGCTATTACTCTCCATCTTGCTATTATTCATCCTGCCACCCTCCCCTCCATCCAAACTGCTCCGTCTACCCCTCCTCCCATCCATCTCCTCCCTCTCCTCCTCCCACCCTTCCTTCCCCTCCCACACACTTTTCCCCACCCTGCCCTTCCCGTTCTCGCCTCTCATTCTCATCGCATCTACTCGACCCATCGTGCTGCTTCTTCTCGTCTCCTCCACCTCACCGCACCCCACCTCCCCGTAACCCTCTCCACCGCTCCCTCTCCTCCCGTGCCTCCCACCACCATCCCATCCCCTTTCTCCCACTCCCCCTGTTTCACGCTCCCTCCATGCATCTCTCTCTTCTCCCACTTGCCTATTCTCACTCGCCCCTGCTGTTCTTCTCCGCCTTGGTTCAGGAGCACCTACCATCTCCTCCTCTTCCTCCTCTTCCTCCCTCTCTCGCCCCCTCTCTCTTTCTTCCCCTCGCTTGCCTTCATTCCGCCTCCCCAACTCCCTTCCCTCATCCCACTCTCCATACCTCTCCTCAACATCACTCAGTCTCTCCGCAGCACTCCACCCATCCCCCTTCACCACCACACTCCCTGTATCAGACTCTTCTCCCAACTCTCTCTCACGCTCCCGCTCCAGTTCCCTTTCCCTATCTCTCACCCTCTCCCTTTCTATATCTCTCTCCCTCACTCTCTCCCTCTCCCTTCCCCCTTCCCTACCATTCTCCCTCCCTCTATCACCAATACCGCCCCCCTCCCCCCACCCTCCTTCTCCTCCACCCCTCCCCCACGACCGAACACTAGAAGGTGACCCCACACTCGACCCATCGTCACCGCTCTGCACCCCGCCATACCCACCCCGTGGGCTCGGCCTTCCCCAACCCTGTCCTTCAAGTGTGGACCGGCCGGGCCTGGGAGACTGCAGCGGCTCCCCTGTTCCCGGACCTCTTCTTTCCGAACCCGGCCGAGAGGTTTGCCCTCCAGCCGGTTTGGAAGAGGGGAACGGGGAAGCCTGCTGGTTTGGTGGACGTTTGGGGGAAGGGGGAGGGGCGTGACGAGTGGCAGCAGAAGCAGAGGCGGAATGGGGAGAGGAGTGAGGAGGGAGAGGGGGGTGGTGTTGCTGCTGGTGGGGGCTCCTTCTAGGCGAGGGTAGGGGCTGCTGCTGCTGCCGCCGCTGCTGATGTTGTTGCTGCTGTTGCTGGTGCTGGTGCTGGTGCTGGTTCTTCTGCTGCTGCTGCTGCTGCTGCTTCTGCTGTTGCTGCATGGGAGGGCTTTCGAGCATGGTATCCTGCTCTCCCTCAGACGAAACTTCAACTCTCAGGCCCTGTCCACTAGGCGCCCCTCCCCAAGCACCAAAGGACGGACTGGGAGCAAAACCCATTGGTTTCTGAGGCACCTCTACCATTGCTTCCTCCTCCTCCTCCTCCTCTTCCTCCTCCTCCTCCTCCTCCTCCTCCTCCTCCTCCTCCTCCTCCTCCTCCTCCTCCTCCTCCTCCTCCTCCTCCTCCTCCTCCTCCTCCTCCTCCTCCTCCTCTTCCTCCTCCTCCTCTTCCTCCTCCTCGTTTCCTCCTCTGAATGCATCAAGTGCAGATCCTTGGCCGCCTTGCCCCTCTTCCCACTCTCGCACGTCTCGCCCACCCCAAGCACCAAAGGACGGACTAGGACCGAACCCCACACCACCACCACCAACACCATGTTTCACACCTCCCCCACCTGAATACCCACCTGATTTTTCACCTGAATTTCCAGTGCGCCCGCCAACAACTGGGACGGTCGGAGGGAGCTTGCTTCCTCCTCTCCCTTCTCCCTTCCCTTCTCCCCTCTCACCTCTCCCGTCCCTCCCTTGATCTCTACCCTCCCCACCTGCCATCCCTCCCCTGATAGGACTCTTCCCTGCTCCTCTCCCCCCACTCCCTCTCCCCTCATCCCTTCTCTGCTGACCCCTCTGCTCCTGTTGCTGCTGCTGCTGTGGCCGCTGCTGTACTGCTCGCTCCTGCACTCCCCGCTCCTGCCGCTGCTTAAACGTCAGAGGAGACAGAGGCCTCTCCCCTCCATCATACCCCCTATAAGGGGATACCGCCCTTCCACCCCTCTCAGAACCCTTATAAAGAGGAGACACCGGGCCCTCATCCCCTTTATAAGCCATCTGAGGGGACAATGACCCCTCACTCCCCTCACACCCCTTCTCAGAAAAAGCTGCCCCCACCTCCTCACTAATCGACTCTCTCCTCCTCTTCACCATCCCCTCTCTTATCACTCTCTCTAGGTCCCGCGGCCGGATGGGCTTAGCTAAGTAATGGTCCATCCCAGCAGCCATGCACGAGTCTTTATCCTCGCTAAGAGCCGATGCGGTAAGCGCCACAATGAACGTCCGGCGCGGCCGGTGGGAGCGGCGGGTGCGAGAGCTGCTGCTGCTGTGGGGATGACTGGGAGAACTTGCTTCGCTCATATCACCGTCTGTGCTGCTACCGTAACCCCCCCTGCTGCCACTCCTCCCATACCCACCACCACCGCTGCTGCCCCTGCCACCACCGGCAGCAGCATAGGCAGCGAGTCTCTCCTCTTCCATAGCTCGTATGTTGCGGGTGGCTTCATACCCGTCCATCTCAGGCATGTGGCAGTCCTGGGAGAGGGGGGAGAGGGGCATTGATAGAAAGGAATTAGCCGCAGCAGCAGCAATGGCAGCAGCACCAGCACCAGCAGCAGAAGCAGCAGCAGCAAGGGCAGCAAGTCTCTCCTCTTCCATAGCTCGTATGTTGCGGGTGGCTTCATAACCGTCCATCTCAGGCATGTGGCAGTCCTGGAAGAGAGGTGGGGGGCAATGATAGAAAGGAATCAGCCGCAGCAGCAGCAATCACTCGCCTGCACGGCCAGCCGGCCATTCCTCTCCCATTCCACGGGCACTTGCTACAATCACTCCCCCATCACCTAACCCCCCCACCCCACTCACCACCTCCACCCACCATGAGCACCACGTCGTAGTGACTTTTGAGTCGACTCAAAAGTCACCCCCCCCCACCCCACTCACCACCTCCACCCACCATGAGCACCACGTCGTAGTGACTTTTGAGTCGACTCAAAAGTCACCCCCCCCCACCCCACTCACCACCTCCACCCACCATGAGCACCACGTCGTAGTGACTTTTGAGTCGACTCAAAAGTCACCCCCCCCCACCCCACTCACCACCTCCACCCACCATGAGCACCACGTCGTAGTGTCTGTCTGCACATGCCTGCACAGCAAGTCTCCCATTCTCCACCACGTCGTATTTGAGCCCCAGGTTGTGCAGCATGCGCGTCGCCACCATCTGGTTCACTTTGTTGTCCTGCAGTGAATTGGGAGGTGAGTTGAGGGGATGGGTGGAGAGGTGGGTTGCGAGGGAATGAGTCTCTCACAGCAAGTCTCCCATTCTCCACCACGTCGTATTTGAGCCCAGGTTGTGCAGCATTCGCGTCGCTACCATCTGATTCACCTTACTATTCTGGGGGGGTTAGGGGAAGTGAGGGGGGGTGCGCGGATGGGGAATGGGGGAAGGGAATGGGTGGTTTGCGGGAAAAGGGAAGTGAGCCTCTCTCACAGCAAGTCAGCCGGCCATTCTCCACCACGTCGTATTTGAGCCCCAGGTTGTGCAGCATGCGCGTCGCCACCATCTGATTCACCTTGTTGTCCTGGAGCGGGGTTGGGGCAGGAAGTTGAGCGGAGGGGATGGTGGGAGTGAGCTTTTCTCACCACAAACCAGTTGAGAGTAGGGGATGGGGAGGGAAGGAGTCTCTCTCTCACAGCCAGCCAGCCAGCCAGCCAGCCAGCCAGCCATTCTCCAATACGTCGTATTTGAGCCCCAGGTAGTCCTTTTTCACGGGCAACCGATTTTGCAATCACACAAAAATGCATACAAACCTCTAACCCCACCCCACCCCACCCCACCCACCAGCACTCCCCCTCACCTCTGCAGGCTGCCACCAGCATGCGCATGTGCTGCAGCTGCATGTGACAACAGATGCATGTAACCCAACTCATCCACCACACCCTATACAGTCATAACCCTTCTTAGTCACACCCCTCTCACCTCGGCCACCAGAACGCGCATGTGCTGCAGCTGCACCCACAGCGGCGCCGCATCGCTGCTCGCGGCAAACATGCCCCCCTTGTAATGTGACGACAAACCTTACAGCCACAACCCTACAGTACACTCGCAAACCATACAATCACGCCCCCCTCACCTCGGCCACCAGCACGCGCATGTGCTGCAGCTGCACCCACAGCGGCTCTGCGTCGCTGCTCGTGGCGCTCTCCCCTGCCGGCTTGGGGTCCTCCTTGGGGTTCACTCGCTGCATTCTCACGTAGAAGAAAAAGGTCGACCCCTCTCCCACCTGGAGGGGACAACAGGGGAGGAACAAACGATCATGTGTGAGCAGTGCAGTGCGGAGCGGATCATAGTGCCTGGCTTGGCTTGGTGCTCTCCTTGGGGTTCACCCGCTGCATCCTGGTAAATAGGGGGGATGAGGAGAAGGGAAGGAAGGGAGGGGGGAGTCGAGAGGGGTATGGTACACAACACGTATGCCTGCATGTCCACTCCAGATCCGGCTCCCCTCCTGTAGTGAGTCGATTTTTTAGTCCACTCAAAAATCGCTCCCCTCCTGTAGTGAGTCGATTTTTTAGTCGACTCAAAAATCGCTCCCCTCCTGTAGTGAGTCGATTTTTTAGTCGACTCAAAAATCGCTCCCCTCCTGTAGTGAGTCGATTTTTTAGTCGACTCAAAAATCGCTCCCCTCCTGTAGTGAGTCATTTTTTTAGTCCACTAAAAAATCGCTCCCCTCCTGTAGTGAGTCGATTTTTTAGTCGACTCAAAAATCGCTCCCCTCCCCCTCCCTCTCCCTCTCCGTCTCTCTCCCGCTCCCCCACTTACCCCTCCTCCTTTCACCACTCCCCCGCTCCCCCACGTATCCTTCCCCTTTTTACCACTCCCCCGCTCCTCCACTTATCCCTCCCACTTTTACCACTTTCCCTCTTCCCCCCTTCACCCTCCCCCCTCTCCTGGCTGTGCATGCCAATATCCCCCCCCATGCTCTTGCAAATCGCGAGTCCCAGCCCCGTGCCGCCGTATCTACGGCTCATGGAGTTGTCCGCCTGGGAGAACGCCTTGAACAGCCGCCCCTTGGCTGTTGAGTCTATACCCAGATGCTCTCAATCCCTCTCCCCCCCCCTCTTCCCCCCTCCCCCCTCACCTGGCTGTGCATGCCGAGATCTCCCCCTATGAGGAAGCACAAGCTCTTGCAGATTGCCAGTCCCAGCCCCTCATCCCCACTCCACCTTTCCTCCCTCTTTCTTCCCTCTCGCCCTTCTATAAAAAACTCCTCACCTGGCTGTGCATGCCGATATCCCCCCCCACTAGTGCTACCACCACCGTCTCAGCTTCTTCTCCCTCTCTCCCTCCCCCTACCCTTCCCCCACCCCTCCCCCTCCCCTCACCTGGCTGTGCATGCCGATATCCCCCCCCATGAGGAAGCACAGGCTCTTGCAAATCGCCAGCCCCAGCCCGGTGCCACCGTAGCGGCGGCTCGTGGAGTTATCAGCCTGGGAGAACGCCTTGAACAGCCTCCCTTTTGCTGCTTCGTCCATGCCCACTCCCGTGTCCCGCACCTCAAACCGCACCACCACCGTCTCCTCTGGCTTCCCTGCTGCCTCTGACTCTCCTGCTTCTCCTTTTCTTCTCACCACTCCCTTCTCACCCTTCCCTCCCTTTCCTCCTGAACCACCACCGCCGCCGCTTCCGGTCTTTCCTCCTCCTCCCCCTCCCTCACCTCCTCCTGCTCCTGCTCCTTCCTCAGCAGAGGTCAACAAGTTGCCAGCAGCACTGATCTCCCCCTTCTCCTTGCCTTCCCCCCGTTGCACACTCATGCACTTGCTGCTCTCCCTCCTCGCCTCCTCCACCTCCCCCAGCTCTACCTGCGTGGCCAGGCGCAGAATCACTGTGATGCCGCCACTGGGGAGGAGAGGAGGGAGAGGACAAGGAGCAAGCGAATGAGGTTCACTTCAGAAGCACCGGCCGCCGTGTCCCACCTACCTGAGGAGTGCTTGCCCTCAGTCAGTAGTAGTACGGGATACGGCGGTGGTAGGTCAGTCAGTAGTAGTACGGGATACGGCGGTGGTAGGTCAGTCAGTAGTAGTACGGGATACGGCGGTGGTAGGTCAGTCAGTAGTAGTACGGGATACGGCGGTGGTAGGTCAGTCAGTAGTAGTACGGGATACGGCGGTGGTAGGTCAGTCAGTAGTAGTACGGGATACGGCGGTGGTAGGTCAGTCAGTCAGGAGTATGTGCGCGGAGTCCCACATACTAGCCCTTGATCACTCGGTCGTTATTCACGCACTCACGTTTCGGTAAACTTGATGGAATTGGAGATCAGATTCAGCAGGACTTGCCGCAGCCTCACAGGGTCGCCCATCACCACCGCTGGCACCTGCAGGAATGGCGAATGAGTGGAAAGGAATGGAAGGGGATTAAACAAGTCAAGAGAGGGTAAAGGACGAAATGTGAGGTTCAGCAGGACTTGCCGCAGCCTCACAGGGTCGCCGATCACCACCGCTGGCACCTGCAGGAGGGAAAAGGGAATAGCACAGGAAATGGAATAGCACAGGAGAGAACGGGCGAAAACAAAGAGACGCGAAGGGACGGTAAAGGACGACTTTTGAGACGTCTCAATAGACTTTTTTGAGAATTCTAAAAAACCATACACGTCTCAAAAGACTTTTGAGACGTCTCAAGAGGGAACAGCACAGGAAACGGGAGGGGAGAGAATGGGCAGAAAACGAAGAGACGTGAGGGGAAGGTAAAGGACGTGATACGATGAACAGCTGCTACTATAAACCCCTATCTATCTATCTATCTATCTATCTATCTATCTATCTATCTATCTATCTATCTATCTATCTATCTATCTATCTATCTATCTATCTATCTATCTATCTATCTATCTATCTATCTATCTATCTATCTATCTATCTATCTATCTATCTATCCTGCTGCTGTTGCGTGCGATGTTTCTTGAACCCAACAACTGCATGCTATGGCTAGGGATGAGCAAGTGGCGAACACGAACGTGTTCGTGTTCGCCCCTACACGAACACCTTCGTTTGCCGAACCGAACACTGTTCGGTTCGGCGAACACTTTGAGCAAAAAATGGTGTTCGCCGTTCGCCTGTGAAGGCGTGTTCGGGCGAACCTCGAACACTGTTCGTGTTCGTCGCGGGCAAATTGCAGCAGCGGCCCGAACACGAACGTGTTCGGGCGAACATCGAACACTGTTCGGCGAACATTTTAAGCCAAAAAAGAAAAACCTGTTCGGTTCGCCTCGAACGTGTTCGAGGCGAACCGAACAGGTGTTCGTGTTTTTGCTCAACCCTAGCTATGGCCCAGCTCTCTATGTGCGAGTGCGCGTGTGATGAGTCGGTTTTTGAGTCGACTCAAAAACAGCTGCTACTATAAACCCCTATCTATCTATCTATCCTGCTGCTGTTGCATGCGATGTTTCTTGAACCCAACAACTGCATGGCTCTATGTGCAAGTGCGACTCACTACCCTCCAGCTCAAATCTCCTTGGATATCCCGTTCCGGCCAACAGCCACCACTGTTTCTCACCTCCTCATGGATATCCAGCTCCAGGAACAGCCCCTTGTCCTTGGCCACCACTTCCAGCAGTGCCAGAGCCTCCGTCACCTGCTGGTGCATGTTGAACTCGATGCTCTCCAGTGCCAGGTTCTTGGACTCGATCTTGGAGAGGTCCAGCACGTCGGATATGATTCGCAGGAGGTTGTCTCCGGACGAGCGGATGATTTCGAGGTAGGAGCGTTGTTCCGCTGTCAAATCCGTTCCCAGGAGGAGCTCTGCCACCCCGATCACACCTGCAGGAGGGGTGGAGGGTGGGTGGGTGGGGAGGCAAGCAACAAGGAGCGCTGCTCTGCGGTCAGGTCTGTGCCCAGGAGGAGCTCTGCCACCCCAATCACACCTAGCAGGAGGGGTGGGGGGAGGGGGAGGAGGAGAGAGAAAGGAAGGAAAGGAGGAGGGGAGGGGATGAAGGGATGTGAGGTGGCTAGGGTGGCATGTTGAGCTCGATGCTCTCCAGCGCCACGTTCTTGGACTCGATCTTGGAGAGGTCTAGCACGTCAGATATGATTCGCAGGAGATTGTCTCCCGAAGAACGGATGATCTCCAAGTAGGAGCGCTGCTCTGCGGTCAGGTCTGTGCCTAGTAGCAGCTCTGCCACCCCGATCACACCTGGCGGAGAGGTGGGGATGGGGAAAGAGAGCAGCACGATGGGGATAGGAGCAGGAAGAGCGGATGATCCCGAGGTAGGAGCGCTGCTCTGCTGTGAGGTCCGTGCCTAGAAGAAGCTCTGCCACCCCGATCACACCTGGCAGGAGAGGTGGGGGGAAGGGGAGGAGGACAGAGGGGAAGTAGGGAAAGGAGGAGCGGTGGGGTTGAAGGGAAGGGAGGTGGCAACTGGTGTATGCTGAACTCTATGCTCCTGAGAGCTAAGTTCTTGGATTCGACTCAAAACATCACACGCTCAACATGCCTCCGGCTCACCATTCATGGGGTTGCGGATCTCGTGGCTCATATTCGCCAGCAACTGGCTCTTGGCCTGGTTCGCCCGCTCTGCTGCCTCTTAGCCGCCTGTAGCTCCCTCGCCTGGCGCTTGATCTCTGACAGGTCGTGCCGCACAGCACAACTTTGATGACTCGACTAAAAAATCAACTCACCGTTCATGGGGGTGCGGATCTCGTGGCTCATGTTCGCCAGGAACTGGCTCTTGGCCTGATTCGCCCGCTCCGCCGCCTCTTTCGCTGCCTGCAGCTCCCGTGCCTGGCGCTTGATCTCTGATAAGTCGTGCCAGACGACCATGTGCATGGGGCGGTTGTGCTCGAGCTGCAGGAAGGAGAGAGTGACCTCCACGGGGAAGAGCGACCCGTCCTTGCGCATGTGCATCCACTCAAACCTGCACGCACGGGGGAGGGGTGGGTTTGCGAGTGAGAGGAAGTGAGGAAGTTTTGAGGCGCCTCTGAGGTGGGAGGGGTGGTGCCAGACGACCATGTGCATGGGACGGTTGTGCTCGAGCTGGAGAAAAGAGAGGGTGACTTGGACAGGGAGTAGTGACCCATCTTTGCGCATGTGCATCCACTCAAACCAGGGCCCATGGGAGGATGGTGGGCGGAGGGGAGGGAGGGAAGGAAGGAGGGAGGGAGAGAGGGAGCTTTGGATAAGTCGTGCCAGACGACCATGTGCATGGGACAGTTGTGCTCTAGCTGCAGGAATGAGAGGGTCCCCACCCTCCCATGGCCCAGGGTTGAGGGTCCCTTCTACCAGGAAGAGGGAACCGTCCTTTCGCATGTGCATCCACTCAAACCTGCACGGGGTATGAGCAGGACGCAAGGGAATGAGGAGAAGAGAGGGTATCTCACAGCTCTACTCACTTGTGCAGGCTCATACCTCAGTCACAGCTCGTGTCTCACACCCACACCTCACAGCTCGTTCTCGCTACTCACTTGCGCATGCCTGTCTTAGTAGCCAAAGCCACCATCTCAACCTTCTCGTCTGACCGTTGCCTGTCCGGCTAGTGTTACCGCCCTCTCATTCATGAGCCGGATACTTGAAAAAGCCATGCCTCCTCTCTCGCTACTCACTTGTGCATGCCGGTCTCAGTCGCCCGGGCCACCACCATCTCAACCGCCTTCTCGTCCGACCGACAGTGTTGAGGCGCATCAAGGCTCTCTCAATCCAAGAATGCTCATGCCTCACTGCTCATATCTCTTTCCTCTACTCACTTGTGCATGCCCGTCTCAGTCGCCCGGGCCACCACCATCTCAACCGCCTTCTCGTCCGACCGACAGTGTTGAGGCGCATCAAGGCTCTCTCAATCCAAGAATGCTCATGCCTCACTGCTCATATCTCTTTCCTCTACTCACTTGTGCATGCCCGTCTCAGTCGCCCGGGCCACCACCATCTCAACCGCCTTCTCGTCCGACCGACAGTGTTGAGGCGCATCAAGGCTCTCTCAATCCAAGAATGCTCATGCCTCACTGCTCATATCTCTTTCCTCTACTCACTTGTGCATGCCCGTCTCAGTCGCCCGGGCCACCACCATCTCAACCGCCTTCTCGTCCGACCGACAGTGTTGAGGCGCATCAAGGCTCTCTCAATCCAAGAATGCTCATGCCTCACTGCTCATATCTCTTTCCTCTACTCACTTGTGCATGCCCGTCTCAGTCGCCCGGGCCACCATCTCAACCGCCTTCTCGTCCGACCGCTGCCCGTCCGGCTGGCGCTCGGGGGAAAAGTACGCGGGATGCCGCCCGATGAGCTCGCTCTTGTCGCTGCAGCGCAGGCAGTGGATGGCGGCATCGTTGCACTCCGTGATGCCCGTGTCGTCAAATACGAGATAGCCGTCCTGGGGGCAGGTGGGGGGGAGAGGAGGGGGGGTAGACTTAAGGAAGGAAGGGGAGCATTGCGTGCATTTGCTTCGTTGCACTCCGTGATGCCCGTGAAGGAGATGGGGATGGGGAAGGAGGAAGGCCGGGAATGAAGGGAAGTAGGAGGGAGGGAGGGTACAATTAAGCGCATATTGCAGCGCAGAAATTCGATCGCTGCATCGTTGCACTCGGGGAGGCAAGCAAGCGGCACATGTGCAATTGTAACGAGGTGACTTTTGAGTTGACTCAAAAGTGCACTCGGGGAGGCAAGCAAGCGGCACGTCACGTCACTCACCACTCACCTGCTCAACTCACGTCACGTCATTCACCATTCAGAGGGATGGGTTGGCGGTCATCGCTCACTCACTCACTCACTGCACGCAATGGTCGAAAGAAATTAGCAAGAAGTAAGCAACCAGAGCCCACCACCCACTCACTCACCGAGGAGGCCTCATAAAGCAGCCGAAACTTCTCCCGCACGATCAGATGGTCCGTGATGTCGCTGACCACCCACAGGTCGCCCCCGCCCGCCCCGCAGTCCCTGACGGCCACCTCTAACCACCGCGGCTCGCCATCCCTCCGCACCATTCTTAACGTTCTCGACTCTCGGAACCCCATCGCCCGGTCCGCTTCCAGGATTTGGCGCACCTGTGGGGGTGGGGGTGGGGGTGGTAGAACGATGGGAATTGGGCACGATGGGAATTGGGCACGATGGGAATTGGGCACGAGAAACGGGAAATCTGATGCTCGCTGAGCTCAGCTCCTTCTCACTCCCCTCACTCCCTTCACTCCCTCACTCCCTCACTCCACACTCCCTCACACACACTCGTCTCATACTCTCCATCTGCTTCCCATTCTCCCACTCTTTAAGTGTCCCTCCCCCTCACCTCTTCCGCCCTTTTCCTGAAGAGGCACGAGAACCAAGAGTCCACGCACCGTGCTCAACTCCTACACACTCCACACAAACTACCTCACAATCACCTTTACTCCTTATCCCCATCTCCCTCCTTCACACCTCTCCCACTCCCCCTCCCTCTCTTACCTCTTCCGCCCTTTCCCTGAAGAGGCACGAGAACCACGAGTCAACCGTACTCAAATCCCTCCTCACTTCCCCTCACAGTGCTACCTCACACTCACCTTTCACTTATCATCCCACTCTCCCACTCCCCCTCCCTCTCTTACCTCTTCCGCCCTTTCCCTGAAGAGGCACGAGAACCACGAGTCAACCGAGCTCAGCTCCTCCCGTGAATACCCCGTAATAGCCTCCATATGAGGATTAATCACCACCTCATCCCCGTTGCTGCTGCCACCGCCGCTCCTCTCCCCTCTGCTGCCCCTACCACTGCCGGCGCTGTTGCCGCTCCCCCCGCCACTCCCTCCCCCTCCGCTTCCCCCTCTGGTTCGCTCCTCTGGAAGCATGTGCGCCACTCCTGCTGGCAGGTGCTGGAGAATGAAAGCACACCGCTTGGCCCGCACCTCCTGTGGTTGCAGTGGGATGCAAAGCGGTGGGGAAGATTGGGATGGGGTGGAATACAGTTATGTGTGGTGGAGTAGGGTAAAGTGGGACCCGAGGTAAGAGACAGGGAAGCATGTGCGCCACTCCTGCTGGCAGGTGCTGGAGAATGAACGCACACCGCTTGGCCCCCACCTCCTGTTGTGCGGTGGGGTGGGAAGGGGTGGGGTGGGAAGCAGTGGGGTGGAAAGTGGTGGGGCAGGTTGGGATGGGGTGAAGTACGCGTAAGTGTGGTAGAGTAGTGGGTGGGATGGGGTAAGAGGAAGGGAATTGTATGTGCCCCTTAAACACATATAATTCCTCTGCACCCCTCTAACCTTGGAGCCGTGCAGAGCAGCAGAGAGGTGGCTGAAGCGAGCCAGGAACATGGAGGGAAGTAAGGGGAAGGGAGAGCCACCAACCTCCCTCCTGTCTCCTCACTTCTCTCCATTCATCCTTGCCCCTTTGTTCCCCACCCCACCTCCTACACCACTTACGTTTCAGCACCCCTCTCACCTTGGAGCCGTGCAGAGCAGCAGAGAGGTCGCTGAAGAGTGCCGTGAACATGCAGGGGGGATCATCGCCCCACGCCCAACCCGCCCCATCTGGTGCTGGCCCCCCGCACATGGAGGGAGGGGCCATGAACATGGAGGGAGGGGAGGGTCATCGCCCCTCGCCCAACCCGCCCCATCTGGTGCTGGCACTGAGCAGCACAACCCCAGCACCACCCCAAGCACCACTTGCCTGGAGGCTGAAAGAATGGGGCCGGCCTCTCACCTTGGAGCCGTGCAGAGCAGCAGAGAGGTCGGAGAACAGAGCCATGAACATGCAGGGGGGATCGTCGCCCCACGCCCCACCCGCACCATCTGCTGCTGGTGCCACGTGGCATGTGAGGCGAATGCGCCGCATGCTGCCTCCTGTGGGGTTGTAAGGGGAGATGGATGGACGTTAGGCATGTTCCTTCTGCTGGTGCCACGTGGCATATTCCTTCTGATGGTGCCACGTGGCATGTTCCTTCTGCTGGTGCCACGTGGCATGTTCCTTCTGCCAGTGCCACGTGGCATTCTTCTGCTGTTACCACGTGGCATGTGAGGCGAATGCACCGCATGCTACCTCTCCTGGGGTTTGTAGGGGTGGATGGGTGGGGGGAAAATAGGAGAGGAGAGGGAAAAGGGGCATAAGTGTCTCAAGTTAAGCAAGACACACACACACACACACACACACTCAAACACGCACACACACACACACACACACACAAACACACGCACGCACACACACACAAACACACACACACAAACAGACACACACACACACACACACACTCACACACAAACACACGCACGCACACACACACATGCACACACACACACACAAACACACGCTGGCACACACACACACACACACACACACTTACACACACACACACACACACACACACTTACACACACACTTACACACACACACACACACACACACACACCTACACAGACAGAACGATTGATAGAGCCAGCACAGAGCAGAGATGAGATGACCCACCTGGCAGGATGACGGGCAGGTCATGGTGGGATTGTCTGTGCCACGTGGCGTGAGGTGATAGGTGCTGCGCGTGTGCTGAAAGAGTCGCTGCTGAGATGCTTCCGAACCAGTTCTGGGGGAGGGGGGAATGGGTGAGGGGAGGTAGGCCAGGGGAGGTGGGGGAGGGAGGGAAAAGGGGAGGGCGAGAGGGAGTTTAATTTGGCATGCAGTGATAGGTGCTGCGCATGTGCTGAAAGAGTCGCTGCTGAGATGCTGCCAAACCAGCTCTGAAGGTGGAGGTGGGTGGTGGGGAGTGGTGGGGGAGGGGGGAGAGAGAGGAGGGAAGGGAATGAATCTTTGAGGCGCCACAAAGAAAGGGCCGCTGCTGACATGCTACCAAACCAGGTCTGAGAGGGGAGAGGGAGAATGGGGAGGGGAGGGGGGAAGAGAGTGGGAGGGGAGAGTGGGTGAGCGTAGGGACGGAAAGGGGAGGGAGGATTTCTTCCTTAGGCACCAGAAAGAAAGAGAGAGACCCCTCCAGGGCGTTGACTGATCGCCCCACACAGCATGGCGGCGAGAGCAGCGCTGCAGTGAACCAGCTCGCCACTGCCTAGTCGAAGACCCGCCAGGCCTGTCCCTGCCAGGCCTGTCCCTGCCAGGCCTGTCCCTGCCAGGCCTGTCCCTGCCAGGCCTGTCCCTGCCAGGCCTGTCCCTGCCAGGCCTATCCCTGCCAGGCCTGTCCCTGCCAGGCCTATCCCTGCCAGGCCTGTCCCTGCCAGGCCTATCCCTGCCAGGCCTGTCCCTGCCAGGCCTATCCCTGCCAGGCCTATCCCTGCCAGGCCTATCCCTGCCAGGCCTATCCCTGCCAGGCCTATCCCTGCCAGGCCTATCCCTGCCAGGCCTATCCCTGCCAGGCCTGTCCCTGCCAGGCCTGTCCCTGCCAGGCCTGTCCCTGCCAGGCCTACCTATCCCTCCCTGCTCGGTCCAGGGGAGGTCACCTCACAGCGACTGGCACAGAAGACTCACCTGGAAGCTCCTAATGGCAGGGGCGCTGAGGAAGTTCTGCAGAGGAGAGCCCTCCAGTGCATTGACTGATCGCCCCAGCATGGCGGCTAGAGCAGCGCTGCAGTGAACCAGCTCGCCACTGCCCAGGCGGAGCCCCGCCAGGCCTATCCCTGCCTCGTCAAGGAGGGCCCGGACGTGCAGGTCCGGGAGCCAATGGGAGTCCGCCACGTCATCCAGCCATGAGTGGGTGAAACCGCCGCCCTCTGCTCGGGGGGGATGGGGGGGAGGAGGGGATGGGAATGCGGGGAGGGGAAGAGGGGGGGTTGTGGGGTAGGTAAGGGGAGAATTGTGGGGCGGAGGAGAGAGGGAGAGGAGGGGGAGGGAATCGGGAGAGAGTGGAGAGGGAGGATTGGATGGGGTATTGGGGGGGGGGATGAAAATGGGTGGATAATAAAAGAAGATGCTGAAGACAAAGCGACAAAGAGGTAACCACAGAGTCTTCCCCCCTTCCCCTCTCTCCAACCACCTCCGCCCGTCTCTTTCTCTCTTTCGTTCTCACCTGATTTGAATCTCATTCTTCTCCCATTCCTCTCAGACAGCCTTCCCAACGTCTGTGCCCTCGTAGGCCCTATACAAGTCTCATCATCATCATCACTACCACCACCACCACCACCGCCGCCGCCGCCGCCGCCCCTATCACGACCAGCACCACCACCAACAACAACGTCTAGCTGGTCTCTTTCCTGTCTCCTCCCCGCCCCCCCTCCCCTCCGTCCTTCCCTCTCCCCTCACCTCTCCCCTTCCATCCCCCCTAGCCTCCCCCTCCGCCTCGAATTCCCCTTCTTCCGCCACAAACCCTCTCTCTCCGCCCCACGACCCCCCTGTCTTCCCCTTTCCCCCTCCGCTCGTCCCACACCACCTCCTCTCGGGGGACATAGCCACCATTCCCCGCACTGTCTTCCCCCCCGCCCCCGCTCCCCCCATTCTTCCCCCTCCAACCGTGGTTCCGCTTCCCCCAAACCGTTCCGCTCCCCCCATCCGCTCCCCTTCCGCCCCCCCTCTCCACCCGAGCGGGAAATCCTCCTCAGAGTCACTTTTACTCGCGAAACCTATCTCTTGCACGAAATTCGCGTCTAAGCTACGCTGGCGCCCCAGTCCCCCCCCCCCTCTTCCGCCATTTCTCCCCCTGCTCCCCCTGCTCCCCGTCTTCGCCCTGCTCCCCCCGCTCCCTCCGCCGCCGCCACCTATCCCCCTGCTTTCCCCGCTCGCGCCTTCCCCCATCTGCCACGTCACCTTCTCTTCCCACGTCAGCTCGTTATCCTTAAACTCCTTTAATCGCGGCCTATTTCCCACCTGCTGCGGATTAATCTGCACTGCTGCACTCACATTCGCCTTCGCACTCACGCTCGGGCCCTTGCCTATGTTCTCGAGAGCGTGCGCATGCACAAACGCATGCGGAGGAACGCTCGCTTCGCCATCGTTTGACTGGGAATGCAAAGGCGGTAAGCGCCCCGAGCCTACGCTACTCTCCCGCCGAAGCCCCGCCCCTATGCTGCTCTCTCGTCGAATCCCTGTCCCTAGACTAGCTTCCCGCCGAAGCGCCGAGCCTGCTCTATTGCCCTCCCCCTTGTACTCTCCCCCACTATCCGCCGTCCTATAATCACCCCCGCTTCCGCCCGCGCCAACATCCCAACTTCCGCCATTCCCGCCAATCCCGCCAGCCTCCCCCGCTGCGCCCTGCCCGCCGCGGACGCTCCCGTCATGCTGCTCCGAGCCGCTTCCGTGGTTCAAGGAGCCTACTAAGAGGCACCTCAAGGCGCCCGGGCCGCCGGAGCCCGTCTGTGGCTGAGTGGTAAGGGAAAAGGACTTGGGGTATGGGGACGCGGGATCGTCAACGTCAACGTCAGCGTGAACGTCGGCGTGAACGTCATCGTCAACGTTCCGTTCCCCTTGCTGCCCCCGCTGCTGCGGGAGCGGGTGCGCCGTTGCTACAAGCTCGCGCTCCCCGTTGGTCTCGAAGTATTGGAGCAGGATGGAAAACAGAACGGGCTTCCCGCCAGCAGCAGACGCGCCACTGTTCGTTTCGCGAGACTCGCCGAGAGCGGTTACCACCTGCTGCTCCCTCGCAAACTGCTCCTTTCCCAACTGCTTCCCCTGCTCCTGTCTCTGCTCCCTCCCCTGCTGCTGCTGCTGCTGCTGTTCCCGCTGCTGCTGCTGGAGCCGCTTCCGCCCTTCCCTGTGCTTCCGCCTGCTCCTCCGCCTCGCCGCTCCGTCTTCCGCCCATTGCGCGCCGAGCATCCCGTCCCCGCCATAATCGTCATCGTCATCGTCGTCGTCGTCATCCGAAAATATTTGATTCTGCGCGAACCCGTCCCGCGAGAAGCTGTCCGACGTGGACGAGAACGACCGCACCTCCTCCGACGTGCTCGTGCGCAGCCCCGCGTGCAGCGCAGAAACCTCCGCACCAGCGGAAACCCCCCCCCTTACTCCCCCGCCTGCGCTTCCGCCTCGCCCTGCACCGCCAGCTCCCGTTCCACAAGTCTTCCGCCGAGCCAGCGATAACCCCGCTGCTTCCGAACCTCCCCCGCTGCTTCGGCTACTGGACCGGCCAATGCGGTCCCCCCCAACGAAACCCTCATTTTCGTTTCCCACCGCGTTTTCCCCAACCGTTTCCCCTGCGCTTCCGCCCGTCCCGTCTGCTCCTCTTCCTAGTCTCAGAAGCGCGTCGAGCTTCGCGCCGCGCTGCTCCCCGGTCGCGAGGGGGGCAACCAGCTGCAGCCATTCCGGTAACGGCAAGCCGTCAATTAAACCGCACAGCGTCAGCGCTTCTAGCTCCTCGGGAGCATAACCTAACGCATCGCATGCGCCCTCGCTCACAGCACATATTCGAGCGGTCCACGGGTCAAGCACGAACTGCACGAACTGCGCCTGTTGAACAAGCCCTAAGACCGTGGGTCCTTGTCCGGGCATTCCGGGCTTTCCACCGCCATTTCCGTTGGGTATTCCGCTCCCGACGGGTCCTGCTAGTGTTTGCGGGGTACAGCTCCCAGGAGAGTTTTTCCTATGGATAGGAGGAGGGGCCTGATAGGTCACAGTCAGCGGCATGGCCTAAGGACGTGCCCTAAGAGTACGTCTCTTGATCGTTCTGTGGAGTCTATATGGTGCGTCGCGGTACAAAGCGGTGAAATTCGAGAACCGCTTTCCACCGTGTGGAACCGACTTGAGCCACGAAGAATGAACTGTATACGTACTGTTGGGACAGACCCAAGATGAGAGCTGGCTGCAGCAACATGCGAATGCGTCCGGACGAAGGAGAGAACTTGCTACAAACCTTGCTAGTGGTAGCTACTAGAGACCAGGTGACATTTTGTTGCCCAGTTAGTGGTAATAACATCTATCGCCTAGTTAGTGGCACACCATACTCTACGGAAGAGCGGAAAAGCTGACTGTTACTGGAGCCAAATGACGAAGTGCAAGAGGCGTGTAGAAGTGCAAGAGGCGTGAAGAAGCAGCGTCCGCGATCCCTGCACACACAGATAGGAAACAGTTGCGCGACGCGCTGGCGCGCGAACTTCTCTCAATCCCATCGACCAATCTCGCACCGTAGGTAGGGCGACCGAACCTCGTCTAAATAGATCGACTTACAACTGATTCCACGTTATGTTCATGCTGCAGACAAGTTCATGTTGACATTACAAGTGCCATTTGGTTTTACGGCCAGAATCGCGGGATTACAGCATGAGGTTTCAATCCTTTCATCAAAGACAAATTTTGCGACATGTTATGCCAGGGCGTATCTCTGGTTCCGGTCACTTGCACTGTTTCGAGGCTTTTTCGCGCCAATATTACGCCCCAAACAACAGTCACATCCAATGGAGGGATGCCAGTTAGCTCGAAAGATCATTTGCTACACCCACGCTAAACCATGCGACACCCATCTAAAAACAAAATCGTAAAAAAATGTCGGCATGAATCCCCAGATGTTGGGAGCGCGACGCGGGAAATTCAAGACACATTCGGGGGTCACAGAGATCAATTTGCCGAGTGGTTGGGTGTAAAGGTATAGAATACGGTACATTGCAAAATTGTGACACTCGACTGACGACGGCCAAAAAGATGGCAGTCTAACGTGAATCGTGCAACCAGGTGATTGGTTGGGGGAGGGTCATACACGTCACTCGCCCAACACCTGCACATTGACCCAAAGCTGGGGCCGCGCGCGGCTCGGCAGCCCACTTCGGGTCATGCGCATTTTACGCATGACCCAAACAGTTGAATGAACAGTGCAAGTGACCGGAACCAGAGATACGCCCTCACTTCAGTCTGGTCGCGCAGACAAGGCTTGTCTTATGCTGTTTTTGTTTGGTCTGTTTTTGTTTACGGTGTTAAACGAACTAAGCCCCGTAGGGAGCCAGGCACGCTTTCAATGCATCAACCCTAAACACCTGGAAAGTTCCCGTGTTTAGGGTTGATCCTTCCCGAATTGCACCACATTCAAGGCATTAACCCTAAGCACCATGCTTCCCGTGTTTAGGGTTGATGCCTCCCGAATTTCGTTCATGCCTTTAGGGGTTTTTTTTTTCAGCCCTGCTTAGATTCAGAGGTGTGTAGATGTTTCCTAAATTCGCGATTGACACGCAGATTAAAAAAATAGCATGTATACAAAAAACGTAACACGCGTACGAAACTTTTTTGCGCCATCAGAAAAAGACAAAACAACCGAAACTTGTAAGGTCAAGGCAATGTAGTCACAATTGCGAGCTTGTTTTTTTACGGAAGCACGAAAATCACCTGGCAGACATTATCCCAAACGAAACAGTGACAATTAGGAAAACACCAGTTTTTATTCAGCGTATGTAGGTCAATTCATTTGCGAGGGGTAGATGTCGCGTAAGCGCATGTAGATCAATTCATTTGCGAGGGGTTTGGTCGCCCTACCTGCGGTGCGAGCCTTGCTGATAGGATTAAACAAAGTTTGCGCATTTGCACGTCGCGCAGTTTTTCCCACAGATTGTCTACCCACCCACAACAGTCACGGCGCGTCACATTTGTTCAGAGCTCGTAAATAACCGATGCTGGTGAGTATCAAACGGTTCAAAACGGTGCAAACAAATGACCGCTCAGGATTGTACAGCATCGTTCCTAACCGAACGCAAAGGGAGCTCGAATGATGTGCCTCCCTCCCACAGGTTGCTAGTTACAGTGGATGACTGCAGCGCAGTCCCCAAGGTTGCTCCACCCCGAATCTTGGGATTGTTGCAGGAACGAGCCCTCCATCGATCTTGCAGAGTGACAAAGCCATCGTTGTTGGACCTGGCTCATCATCAGCAGAAATGGTTCCGTGAAAACCGTAGGGTGTACGAGAGCTGTACCATTACAGCTCAAAAGTGTACAGTGGATAAATCGTTTCTTGAGTTGAGATCATCTTGAGTCCCGGTCGAGCTGGACGGTTGGTTGTCGTCTGTGGTAGAGTGGAAGCGCTGAGAGTGTGTAGTGAAAGTTGGGGTTGCGAATCGTATAAAAGCTGGAATTTATGTGTTGGTGGAACTCGAGAGCGCAAATATAGGAACCCAAGTATAGACCCTAAACTTCTCGAGCATACTGAACATGCAATGTCTTCTGAATAATTTTCTGAAATAACCTCCTAGTGCACCTCATTGATAAATAGCCTTGGTATCAGGAACCTACCCGATACATTCAGATTGGTCAGGACAGGATTGCTATGACTGCCAGGACGCAGGTGTTGATTCTGGCTGGCTGTTCCGTCCACGCTTCATCCAAACATTGTCGATGTGGCATCCACCATTCTGAATCCCTTTTCGCATACTGAAACTGCAGTCATCCTCCAATGAGGTCTGGCTGGAGTTGGTTCAGAAGGCACCATATCTGACATGGAGTCACTTTCAGATAGTTACACCAACTTTTTTAACTTTTAGACCTGAACCTAGTAAGGAAAATTCCTTTTCCTTACTTAGCGTCCCTGCTCAGCGCATACACCACTGATCCCGCCAACAGCACCCAACACTAAACCGTTACCACTCGCGACATTCGCCTCGACACTGTTCCCGCCACTGTTCACGACTCGACCCAACCTCACGGTTCAGTTAGTAACCCGCGCTCCGTACCTCCGCCTCGGCATTTCCCAACCTCGGCGCCAGGCCCGTCGCGCACCCCATTTTCACGCATTACCGTTACCACTAAAGTTTCGCTCATTGTATTTTTTGCTTTGATAGTGCAATTCTCGTTCGCTCACTGAATTGCACTAGTAACACACCCTAAACCTTTCAGCGTTCCAAAATCCCATCACTTAACCATTATAGCAATTTAACAACTTCATTTTGTTACGGGTGCAATTGAGTGAGCGAACGAAGATTGCACTATCAAAGCAAAAATAATTCAATGAACGAAGGCATGAGTTGATTTTTAAAGTGCTCACTAAGGGCTGTCGTACAGGCTTTATGCTCGGGAATGTCAGGGCTGTTAGAATAGCAGCTAGAACGTTAGAACAGGAAAAAACGGATTTGGACTAGCAGCAGCAGGATACATATACGAAACCCTAAATTGGGCTGTACTCGCTATAGACTACCCCACTGCAGGCTAGACAAATACAACATTCTGACACACACCCATAGCCAAAATGGGGTGTAATCAGCAGAATAAGCAGACAGAGCAATAGTTTACAATGATAAGCAAAGCTAGAGGCTATCACATGTCAGAACATATAGCTTGTGCTTATTCTGTAGGCTATAATGGGGTAGCCCAGAAGGGGTACAACCCAATTAGGGTTAGTACTTGTACTCAGTTCATTCATAGTCCATTTCATTCTCGTTTCTTCTCATGGTTTCAGAGCAGGTTCCCTAGTGGGAACGCTACCTAGGGCCCACCACGATTTTTTTTTTCTGCCCGGAGCGCGCCTTAGACTAGACCGAGTCGCGCGCGCCCCGTGTGCCCTCCCTACCGTCGCGCCGCCCTTTGTGGCCCCTTGCGCTGCCCGTCGACCCCACGCGCCGCCCTAGCGGCCCCTCCTTGCGCCACCCGTCGACCTCGCGCGCCGCCTTAGCGGCTCCCTACGCCGCCCGTCGACCCCGCGCGCTGCCCTAGTGGCGCCTTACGCCACCCGTCGACCCCGCGCGCCGCCCTTGCGGCCTCGCCGCCCTTACCTGCGGCCCCGCCACCCTCACCTGCGGTCCCCGCCGCCCTTACCTGCGGTCCCCGCCGCCCTCAACTGCGGCCTCGCCGCCCTTACCTGCGGCCTCACCGCCCTCACTTGCGGTCCCAGCCACCCTCAACTGCGGCCTCGCCGCCCTTACCTGCGGCCTCGCGCCCTCACCTGCGGTCCCCGCCGCCCTCAACTGCGGCCTCGCCCCCCCTTACCTGCGGCCCAGCCGCCTTCCCTGCGGCCCCGTCACCTGCTGCAGCCCCGCCCGCCACCTGAGCCGCCCGGGCCGCCTCACCTCACCGAGCAGCAGACCGCCGCGCCGCCCTGCAGCAGCACGGCCGAGCCGCCCAGCGGCTGAGCAGCCGAGCAGCCGAGCCGCCCAGCAACCAAGCAGCCGAGCCGCCCAGCAGCCGAGCCGCCCTGCAGTCGAGCCGCCCAGCAGCCGAGCCGCCCTGCAGCCGAGCCGCCCTGCAGCCGAGCCGCCCAGCAGCCGAGCCGCCCTGCAGCCGAGCCGCCCAGCAGCCGAGCCGCCCTGCAGCCGAGCAGCCGAGCCGCCGAGCCGCCCTACCTTCGAGCCGCCCGAGCAGCCCCGTCCGGTGAGCACAGTGCCTCTTTTTCTGCACTGCCCTCTCCCTACTGCTGCACTGCTAGTCTCCTCTGGTCATGGCTACCCCTAGTGTCCTCGCTTTTGACGCTGAGGGTCGAGCCATTGACTTTGACGTCTGGGTAGATGACTTGCAGCTGTTTTTACAGTGTGATAGGGCAGACGGTCTCTCACTCTTTGACCTCACCTCTGGCGCCTCTCCTGCCC